GTGGGACTGTTCCAGGCGGGCACGCTGGGAAAGACCTGCCCTGGCACACACTCCTCCAGGACACGATCTGCGGGGTCATGAAGCATGTACTCTGGGACATCGCTAGGTGACACTTTAATTTTGGTTTGTGAAAATTTCTATGGCATGAATTCATGCTAAATTTTAGCAAACCTTATTTCTGGATTTGCTATGTTACATTTTGTCAAACCTTTGTTCTGCATTTACTGAGAAAATCACATCATTGTTTCATTCAACCTGTTAATGTCACACTTCATATTGATCCGCTTATGTTTCTAAGGCTAAGTCAGAATTGCATTCTGGGAGTTTAACCTTCAGCATGGCGTATTATTTTCTTAATACATTGCAGAATCCAGTGCACTAATATTTGTCTCGGATTTTGCCTTGATAACTAAATAGAGTTGCCTGCAGTGTTAATTAATGTTAGGTTCCTTGTCGTATTTCGTATCCAGTTACATTACGTACAGGAAACCACTTGGAGAACGTTTCTCCTATTCTCTAGAAGGACCTCCATGAACACGGAGTAATTTCTTTCTAGACTATGTCATATGATTTACCAGTAGAACCACTGTGCTTAGATCTTTAGGGGAATATTATTTATTGTGTTTCCATTTACTTAACAGGTGACAGGGCTATGGGAATTGTCTCAATCTTCTTGTGTCACTTTTCACAGAGTTTTCTAGGAACTGGCCAACTTGGAAAAACTTTTCAGTGAAATTAATTGCCATAAAACAATTTGTCATGTTTTCTTAAGTTACCATTTGACAAAGATACAGAGTGAGTTCGCACTGCCTGTACACATCCACAACCGCTGTGTTCTGAGAACAGCAAACTGTTGTGTTCATACCTAGAGGTCAGTGTAGGACTGCAGACACTGGTATTTGACATGAAGACCCCCATAATGAAAGGGAAATCAATGTGTTTCCCAGACTTCTCTATGAACCAGCCAGGGAGGCACAAAGACACTAGCATTAGGAAAATTCTCTAAAATGAACACTGCTTTCTAAGGTAGCGGCTGCTGTTCTAACAGGAACTCATGTTTAAGACCGTGTGGCGATACAGTATGAGCTGCTTATTTGTTTCCATTTCTAAGTTTACAAATCAAACTCCAAGAAGAACAACACAGAGTATCCTAACCGAAGACAAAGGAAAACAAGATTTTCTTTCAAAAAAGCATTCTGAACTGCACTGCTGCTTACCACTGGTGATTAACGACCAATATGAAGCTCCTTTTTTACTAGGCACAGGCACTGCCGCAAGACACCGGCCTCCATGTTCACACACAGAGGGAAAAGAGCAAAGAGCCTCCCAGAGCACCTGACACCACGATCAATGAAATTTTCCTTTCAGGACAATTCCAAGTACGGTTGCATGGCCAGAATGCGCCCCTATTTTGGTTCAATGAAACGCAAAGAGTTCTCACTAGAAAGAAGCCTCATGCGGCATTAGGTGAGGGAAATGGGAACCGCCAGGACATTCAGCAGAAGGACCTCCTGGAGTCCAGGTCAGGAGACACCGGGTCTCCCTGAGCCCGCAACCACCAGGGGCAGCCAGAGTCTGGAGACAGGCAGCACCAGGGAGAGCCTGGACTGCTGCTGGGGACGTTTGCTGAAGTACCATTACGTGGAAACACCACCTCAGGTGGACGAGACGGCCCTGATGCATGCAAACCCTTCCCCTCCCGTCCCCCTGGGCTCAGCACGGGACCGACACTGGTTGGGGGAGGAGAAGTGGAGATGGAAAGAGATGAGGTGTCACTGGAAAAGCACCTGGGTCCGTCTGGGCTGTAGGCCAGTCTCATCCTTACCACCAAGCAAGGCTAACTGAGTACCACACAGCACTGACCTGCGACGTCCAGGCGGAAGGACACCTTCTGGCCGCCGGCCTCACAGCTGTACTGCCCGGCGTCCGCCTTCCCCGCCTGCTGCACCACCAGCCGCCTGGTGCAGCCCTTGGCCTCCACGTGCACTTTCGAGCTGGAGCTCAGCTTCTTCCCGTCCTTGTACCATGTCACCTCCGTCTGGGCCTGGGCCACCTCGCAGCTCAGCGTGGCGCTGGCCCCCGCCTCGGCCTGCACCTCACTGTGCGCTGGCTGCTCCTTGGCAAACACCACCGAGGGCTCTGGGGACAGGCAGGGACACACAAGGTCAAAGACCCCATCTAAGCATGGCAATGCTGGGAAAAGAAGGACTGTATAGGGTGTCAGGTGGTCTGGAAGCTTCTCCAGGCTCTGCATCAGCTGTGTGGCCTTCAGTACCTCCACTGACTTCCAACAACAAGAAACACTGTACC